CTAGGGTTGGAATAATAATTATCTTCATAGTCATTACCGAAACAAAGGTAATAATGGAAATGAATAAAATAGCTCAACTACTTAAACACTTAGTAACCTTTTGACTTTCATTGATCCAAGTGTGAGTCTCGTGCTTCAGGTAATATAGGCATCTACGACCTTTCACACCTACTCATACTCGTCCCAAGTATTGTCTCGCAGTTCACTAAGTTATCATAAAGAGGAAATCACATAGAAAACATATAACACAATTTAGCAATTTCACTACTTATAAAAACGATTATATTTATACATTACACCTATTGCATTGGGTAACTCAACTATTTAAACGATTACAAGATAGGAATTTCTTCTCTTGATTCTCTCTCATGCGACATCAACTTGATCTCTTTCTGCATCCAAGATCATATGAGATGCCATTTCTTTTTGATTTGGTAAAATATTTGGTCTTACTGCTTCATTTTTCTTTGGGAAATTTTTCGAAATGTGCTCATTATCTCCACACTCATAACACTTCTTGTCATCCGATGTATAATCTCTAGAATAGTGACATGTGATTCCACACTTATAGCAGGTCATCTCCCCATTTCACCTTCCCGAGTGCTTCTTCTTGCACTTTTCACACCACCTTGCTTCACCAATTTGTCTAGGCTTCCTTTCTTCAAGGTCAGTTTGTGAGAATCTTCCCTTCTTGTCAGGCATTGAAGGTCCTTCACCCATCCTCTTCTCGAAAACTTCAGTCCTATCGGTGGTTCAGTGCTTGATCATATCTTCCACATAATTTGCACTTTATACTACTACTTCAAAGGTAGGTGCCTGCTTAACCAGCATAATACACTCCCATGGTATCCCCTTGGCTTACCTATCAATCTTGGATACTTCGTTCGGGACAATACAAAGGTCGAACTTCATTTTATCGGTGAAAGCATTGCTATACTCCTCCACAGTCAAAATCCCATTCTTCTAATTTGGGAATTGGCTCTCCAGTTCTAGTATGCTATGAGTAGAATAATACTTTTTCTTGAAATGCACCAGGAACTCATCCCATGTCAATCGCAATGGCTTGTTTGGGCTTATTATATTTCCCAATGTGTTCCACCAGCAAACAATTGAGCCCTTAAAATGTCTCACCGCATAGGTGGTTTGCAACTTTCTTGTGCAACTATAAGTGACGGAAGTCTTCTCCATCTTCGATATGCAACCCATAACTCCAATTGGGACTTTGTTTCTAGTAAAAGACAAGTTCTTACAGGTCATAAAGTTCTTATACTTGCATCCAATTATGTCAACCCCTTCATCTGGGTTGTTCCCTATAAACATTTGTGGTTCAGCTTGACTCACTATCTTGCTATAGTATCCTTCTTCCGATTGACCTTCATTCAATTTCGGTTGCACAATAGGCATAGTAGGTTCTCTTTCATTCTCTTGGACGATTCGTCACATTTCCTCCCTCTCCTAAGCTAACAGAGCTCTGATCATCACCATTGTAACATGTTCAACTACGGACATTGCTTCATGTGGATGCTCGATTACATGGGACTCAGGCTAATAGTTTTCGTTATTGTTTCTTAATCGACTACATGTCCTCACCATGATGTCCTCTATACCAAACTAGTCTCAAGACAAGAAATTTAGATAGGGAAGGTTTAGTCACATAATTGTCCTTATGACTCCAAAAAGTTATATGCTAGTATAATACCATATTTACACATTAGAAACCTGAAAACATAAGATTTCCTAATTCTAGGTCGGAAACATACCTTATATTAATCTAGTTAAGAAGCCTAAGGCATGCTATAATACAAACAATTTATCACATAAAAGAAAATTAGACATCTTATCCTTAAGTGAGCTAGTGGTTGTGTCCATTCGGTGTACTACCTAAAACAAAATAGACACACTCATTATGATAATTTCTTAACATTCTAGTTCAAGTCTAGAAATCCTGAAAATTTCTACTTCACTCAAACTACTGCTCTCATACCAATTGTGATATCCCCAAATTTACGGTCGTTTTAAAAATTTTATTTATGCTTATTTTAAAACAAAGTATTTTTGTTGTTGCAAAATTGTTCCCAAAAATATTATTTCAATGGAAGATAATATTAACATTAAACATTACCGAAGAGAAGTTCAATATTGATATCTTTCAAAACTTGGTATGTCATAACTGATACAAAACATAAGCATAATTAGACGTTACCTTAATTTATACTAATGATCTACATCTTTTTTGATCTCTTATTGTAATGTATCTTCGCATCAATACATGTGATACAAATCACTAAGTGGGTTAGGTTGGAAAACTTAGTGAGTACATAGGGTTTTCAACCCACAATAGTAGAGTTAATATGTTTAATTATCAAAAAATTAACCCAATTACCCATCCCCGACTTATTATTTATTTTTCCCTAAAAATTTATCCTAATAGTCATCACCAACATTGCATTTACCTATCATCGCCAACATCGCATTTCTTTACATGTTTGTTACTAAGGAATTTTCCTATGGATCATCACCGAAATCGGATAGACAATATTGTTTCAGGGATTACTCCCCCAATGTGTGTCCAATAAGGGTTCAAGTATCATCGCAAGAATACGTAGTCATTACATCGTTTGAACTCGTAATTCATCAATTATAGGTTATGATCCTGCCAGTGTTTCCACATGGCTTGTTTGTATTAGTCATTGTTCGGTATCTATAATCTGGCTGTTGACTACATCGCAATGTCGCAAGTAAAGGTCAGGGCATATCCATGTCATCTCCTGCTTATTATCATCTATTTATCACTACCTATCTACTATCACCTGTCTATCATCCCCTATCTACCTTCCCTTATAACTACCTAATACATATTTATATGTGTATAATACTTATATGATTAACTCAATTTAAATGTCATCTCATATTATTTTATCTAGCACATAACATTTTCAGCACACATAATATGCACATAAAGCATGTAAATATCTAGATACTTCATATCCGTATGTAAGATGAAGGTAACTATGCACTAACTTGATAAAAGTGGATGCCTCAGAATTTGGGTAGAACCTCACCTTATAACTTTCATTGACCTAAATGTATAACATTAAGTGTTACTAGTTTCACAATCCAAGAAAATATAATAATAATAGTCCAGATCCCTCACTACTCCTAATGCATACATCAAGGTCTATGAAATAAGGATCAGCCAGGCAGGACAGTTGGGAGGCAGGATCATTTCGTCGTATAGCCTTTTTGAAATCCAACAACTAAGTCAATTTGACCATTCTAGACACCTCTCACTTAAATAGATTGCTTAGTATTTTGACTAAAATTATTCATAATCTTATTAAAAGTACATAATAATGACTATGAAAATAAATATAAAGTATGTTGAAAGAATGAGAGTTTAGCTTAACTTATCGAGATTTCTTAGACAAAAGCTCAATTGGCTAAAATTAGAAGGAACTTGAGAGAAATGAATTGAAGAGGTGTGAAAGTCGAATAGGAGCAGAAGCTCTATTTATAGCCAAATTTAGGGTGCATGGCGAGCAAATGGGGTGAAGGCCTAGAAGCACATGTCGCGCTTGGTTTGCGTTTTCACAATCTAGAAGAATGCATCGCCCTCCGCATGCTGCGTAAAACGCAGATTTTGTAAATTCTATAACTTCTTCATATGGACTCTGTTTTTGACATTCTTTTTCCACGTGTAACTTTCAACGAGTACTACAAATTTCATTTAGCCTCAATCGGCTAAGTATGAATTTATATTTAGCCATTAGTTTTAATATGATTTAATGATTTTGCAAAAATCAAACTCTCGTACACATTCCGATTTTGGTGTTCCTTTTACCAATTTTCCTATCTTAAAGAGTACAATTTTAATTTCGGTGACGTTACCCAAAAATCAACCATTCTCTTCATATCTTTTGAAATTAATAATTTTTTGTTATGCGATTAATTTTTATATCTTATAAAATTAATATATCCTTTTTATGAACTCGGATTTCTATGAAATTTATAGTTTTTGGATAACGTCGACGTATACTTTCAATATATATATATATATATATATATATATATATATATATATATATATATATATATATATATATATATATATATATATATATATATATATGTATATATATATATATGTGTATATATATATGTATATATATATATATATGTATATATATATATATATATATATATATATATATGTTTTGGAGCACTTATTTTTATGTTTTACGGACGACTCAGTTGATTTTTCCAATTTTTCCTAATATGAAACTTATGTTATATCTTAAATGCATAGCTCGATTCTGTGGGCATTATAGAAGGGGTAACCTTGCTTTAAATTTCAATATTTAGACATCCAAAAATGATGTGAAATGTAAAGCTTTACTATTAGGCCTTCAACTGGCCAACGCAATAGGTGCCAACGTGTGACTGATTTGATTGACTCAACGCTAGTAACTAACCATGCCAATGGTATGTATGAAGCCAGATACACATGGATCCAAAAATGAAGGAAAATGTAAAGCTTTTATATCTATTTTTCTTATTTTTGAACTATTATTGTTGAAGGTTTGTGTCAATTGGATACACTTGAAGTAAGAACAAAATTACTAAGGAATTAAAGAACCAAAAACTAAATAACATAGAGGATTCAACAAATTTTCTTTCACCAAGAAAGGGGTTGTAACAAAGACGATCACCAAAATGATTATGACAACAGGTCATAGACACGTTAGGGTTTCACCCTAATGGTGAATAAATACGAATCTATACAAGTGTATCCCATGATTAAAGGGATTCTATCTAATTTATACTAAGAATTGATCTTCGTAACAAAGATATCAGATTTGATACCTATTCTATACTTATTTATATCATTACCTAATACACAAAAGATTACATAAAAGAACTAGTATCCTGCTGATGTTGGCGATACTTTAGGCGTTGATGCTAATGTAGACCTTGAAGATGGCACTGGTATATAGAGAGTTCTACTTAGATTCATCAGAAGAACCATCATAGAGCTTATCAAATTCTTTCAAAATCTTAAAGTTAGTCCATCTGAATTCATCAATTTGAAGCTCTTGCAATCTTTTACTAAGTTCTAAAGAGATCAGCCCATGGTATCCTCTTTCTATTTCAAAATGGCCAAGTCCTTCAAAACGAAGATGAAACAAATGTTCAGTATGAGTAGCAGGAAGATCATCAGTGTGTTGAAAGCACATGTGATGTTGACTGTAAAGATAGAAAATTCCATGCTCTGGTTCCCGAATGAACATATATTGAACTGGTTCAACACCCGTTGGTAGTTTGTTGTTGATGTACCTAGTACCATAAGGAAGAAGAAACATGGTGATTTTGGATTGTTTGGGAGCACCTATTCTTGTTGAGTAGGATGGTCTAGATGGACCAACTAACGACACAAGGTTAAGCTTCTTGACTTTGATCAGTAGTTGCTGAATTGCTAACTCCATCTCCTGAGCATGAATACCCTTGTTCTTGTCAATACTCTGTTGAATTTTCATGCACTCATTGTAACCAAATTTGACTAGCCCACGAGGAAATACAACCTCAGTGTATTTATATTTAGTCTTATCTTAAGCAAGTGAAGCTTTAAAGATACATTCTTTGGTTTGGTGCATCTCACCTTGATAATGGGATCAGGCTTTGCTTTACAAGTCAGGACGTCTCTAATCTTCTTCCTATAAATTTAGTTATTTGTGCTTTGACCATCAGTGATTTCTTCAGCGGAAGCAAGAGCTTGAGCAAGTTTAGCAAACAAACGTTTTCCTTTTGTAGCTTATTTCTTTTCTAGAATAGCAGCATTATTCTATATCATGATTTGTCTCACTTCATCAAGAGTTATACCCCATACTTTGGCCAATTCATTCAGATAAAAATGAGCTTTCTTTTCTAAGAAGGAGGATGTGATGAAGGATCATGAGCATAAGAACTTCTAGCTTTGGTGTCATGAGCTCCCCCGGAGAATGAAGCCTTCCTTTTTCAAGGATTGAGTTGATCAAACTCAATGTAAGTATTAGTTTCTTGAGGAATCTCCCCCTCAAAGCATGAATCAGGGCATATGGAATTCAAAGGAACATTAGGAACAACAGCTGGTGGCATGAATCCTAGATCAAGAACTCCTTCATAATGATCAGTCTCTGATTTATCGCCAAAGTCTAGAATGGGCTGATCATCAATTTTTGTACCATATTCTAGAATACCAATGAAAAAAATTTCCTTTTGAAGGTTAGCTTCAACTCTTTTAGTTTCAAGTATCTCAGGCTGAGATGGAGTTGGTGCAATCACCATCATTTGCATTTTCTGATCATGACTCTCTTGATTATTCTCTCCCTTTTTGGCAGCATCAGATTGGGGAGGAGAACCAGATAGTAGAGGAAGAATTGTAGATGGTGGAGGTAAACTTGATGATGAGGATGGATACAGATTTGATGGTCGTGGTAGAGGAGGAGGATTATCATCTAAAGAATTCGGTGGGGTGACATCAGTAATCAAATCATCAGAATCATCATCACCCAAAGCCATAAATCTCTTCATATCAGCCACATCCTATTCAATTTTATACAGTTTCTCTCCCTATATTAGAGTCGTTTTCACTAGAAGAGAAATCTGGGAGTGTACAGTTGTTTCAAAGTTGGAGCTTGATTCCACCTAATAATAAGTAGAAGTCTGAATAGGTGTTGACATAGGAGGACATTTTCAGCTTAAGTAGAAGGAAACGCTAGTTTTGGAAAAATCACATCCTAGATCAGTGGCTCAGTTGTTACCATTAAATGTGGAGTTTTTCCACGTTGTAGAACATCACGTGTAGATGGAGTGAATGAAGAAGTGGATGAAAATAGAATGTTCTTGTTCATTCTTGGAGGATAATTCATTCCCTGAATAAAGTCTTCTTTGTTGATGACATGCTAATCTACTTCAACATATTCTTCTTCATAATCAGTTCTTTTCTCATCAGCATCCTCATTATCCTGTTCTTTGGAGTTAGAGGATTCAACCACATATGGTTTGTCAATCTATTTTTGCATCCTTATTGTTATATGTGAATAATCTTCAATAGGAGCATAACTAATGATCTTTGAGGAGAGAGAAAGAATTGGAATGATAATCCCATGACTTTCAAGACAACCTTCCTTATGAGCTAAGATCAACAAAGAATGTATAATGGCTTCTTTTTCACAGTGATGCAATCTATCACTTGATCAAGAAAAAGCTGAGAAAAATCCAGTATTTTGTTGTAGACAATAAAAAACAAAATCCTTTACACAAAGAGATTCAATTGATCCAAAATCCCAGTCTTGTGTCCAAGATATTTGCCAATAACCCCAGTTAAGTACTTCCATCCTACACCAAAACACTGACGATGTGTGTATTTGTGTGGGTCACATGTGGTGACTTAAGTTTAAAATTGTATTGTACTCTTTCACGAACAAACTTGCATTTTTCCTATAAGGTAGTTTTAAAATAATTTTCTAATCAAAGAAGATGAAGAGTAGTTTGAAAAGACTCCACATCAATAGTAACCCTAAACTAGCCATCTTCAATGGTTCCGGTAATCGCTTGAGCATCAGAATCAACAAAGCATGAGTAGTAGAACTCTCATACTTGTTTAAGGTAGAAAGGATCTGGGAAATCATAGAAGGCAGATCAAAGGGGATAGCTCTTGATATAATAGTTGAAATCTTCAATTCCTTATTTTGTGATATGCTTTAGGACGTCATCATAGAACACCACATTGTTTGCTTGAATGATGATGTGAGAGTCAGGGACATGAGGACCTTTGATAACATTAGTATTGGGGGAAAACTCGTACAAAGGCTTTGACATGGTGAAAGATTGAGGAACATTATAGTTGAGAGAGTCTTTATCGATAGGGAGAAATAGAGAGAGAGAGAGAGAGAGAGAGAGAGAGAGAGCCAATTGGTTGAATAGCTTGTAAAAATGAGCTAGGATGGTTAATTCCCAATTTATACCAAAAAGTTTCTTCCTTGTCACGTAATCATGATTGAAAATATTGTCACTATAAAAATCTCGTATCCCAAGATATTATAAGATCTTTTTAATAATTATCCACAAGTTATCGTTGACGAGTCAGGTGTGAGACTTGATGGATATAGCCAACATACTTCTAGGGACAGATCAAGTATGTGAAAATTGACCAAGAAAATAAAGACCCAAGCCTTATAATCAATTTTTTTTATTGGAACAAGACAATCTCAATTTGAAGCTTTAGACAATGCTAGATAATCAACGTGAGTGGGTGGCTCATTGTTCTCGGTAAATGGTCTTGCTGATGAGATACTTAGTGAGATTTTGTCACATACAACAACATGCTTCTAGGGACGATAATTTAAAAATAGTTACACACTTGGCTAATGAATTGCCCCATAAAATCCATTAAAAATGGTACAAAATAATATAATTAATACAAGAATAAAAATAGGAGAGTTAGTCACAAAAGAAATATTCTACAAGCAATATTTCTACAGCTTTTTTAGAATTATGATAAAGACTCAATCAATCAAATCTTTTAAATTGAATGGCCATAAATGAACTCCCATTTTCCAAGATATCTACCCCGTGACATTGTATATAAAAGAGAGCAACAACATCAACCACGATAAACATATACACAATTCATAGTAAACAAAAAGAGAGAATGCATTTAATCGTTGAGATTTTGCAGATTGACTCTTTAAGTTAACCAAGAAGAAGAGAAGAATATGAACCAATCTTTGTAACCAACGAGTTAAACGGATACAATATTTGTAACCTTCGATTTATGAAAGTCACCAAGACAAGACTCGAAGGTTCCATTCATTCTGATACTTAAAGGATTTGAAGCTGGGACCGCTATCTTGTTGAAGATGCCTTTAGATTCCATAGGGGAGATGGTGTTACAGTAAGAGAATCTATGAAAATAGATGTGATATTTTACATAACTTCACCTCATTCCATTTGAACGAAGATATGTTCTTCAAGAAGGAAGAGATATGTACCCAAAAGAACACTTAGTGGCACAATTATTTCTTATCTGGTCTCATCAGTATGAAGCAACTAGTGACTCAGCGTGAGTATCAGAATTAAGGAGAGATTGGTTGGTGCTGAAGAAAAGGTGCAGAGTCAGCGTCAACTAGGTCTACAAGGACGATGCTAAATTCAAGGAATGACACATTAATCCTTTCAAAAGGAGCAGATCGTTTAAGATCACTATAGATAGAGAAGAAAATATAAGTAATGTTAGTAGAAAAATGCACCATGTATACTCCTTTGGTAACACTAAAGTAAAAAAAAATTGAAGCAAAAAAATATAGTAAATAAAAAATTCTAGTAGATTATATTCAAAAATTTAAAAGTAGCGAAGCATAAAGAAAAAACAAGTAGAGTAGCAATGTCTAAACAAAAAAATCAAACCATATAAATATTGTTGACCTTGAGTCATATAAGCACAATTATATTATCAGAATAAAACACCTTTCCATCATCGCAATCAAAAAGAACTTTACAACTAGAATCACAAATTTGATTGATGGAGATAAAATTGCCTTTTAGATCCTCAACATAAAACACATCCTTCACTTTGATCATCCTTCTCTCAAATGTTCCAACACCCATGACAACTTTTCCACTATTGTCACCAAAAGCCATTATTGGACCATCCTTCTCTGCAAAATCTGTTAATAGAGACTTGAGGCTGGTCATGTGTCTAGAGCACCAATTGTTTAGGTATCAAGTATATCGTATATGTATACTAGATCCTTGGATACCTTGATAATTGTCAGCATCACACATGTTGAGATAACCGTTAGGGGAATCATTGATATGAACCATTAGACCCTTAACATTTAACCTCTAATTTTTAGATGTCTCCTCCTCTTTTACCCATTCTTCATGATCTTCTTATTTTTCAATGGAAGATTTAGGCAGAAAGATTTTTTTTCTTCTTTATATGAGCCAACAGTTTTTTATACATCACTTCATAGTTCTAAGGACTTTGAGCTTCTTTCTTCTCTTTTTAGTACCTAGAAAAATGGTCAACGCTTCCACGGTGAAAGCAATTACCTAAGTTTTCTTTTCAGAAATGGATCTTCTTGTTGATTTCCCTCCCTCTAACTGAGCTCTTCAACTCCCATTTGATATGCTTTCTTCATAACACTTGACAATAAGTGCAACGCAACGAGTTCATCAGTGAGATCTTCATCACTATCTTCACCCTGATCTGAGATATCTAAGTCGCTGAAGTGCTTCATTACTTTCTTTCGAGAAAACAAGGCTACATAATTTTCCTTTCGTTAGTATTTCATGATGTATTTACGAAGAGCTTTGGTCTCTTTGCAATTTCGTAAATTTGCAGCAAGGAGTTCAAATCTGTGGCGTTGATCTTATCACTATTCTTAAGGACATTAGCTTGATGTTCCCAGCTTTTTCCAAGAGATTCGAGAAACATCAAAACCAACTGAGATAATTGATTAACGATTCCTAGCCTACGCATATCATTAACCAAGAAGTTAAACCTATTGATGGTTTGGTAAGTGTCTCACCTTATGGAGCAAAGAAATGCGCATATCTCTGATTGAGGTTTGTAACGCCCGTGTTTCTAGGCTAAGCATTAGTATGATGATGTAATAGTTAGGGTCAACAATTATAACATACTTTGAAGTAATAAAGTTATATTATTTGAATATTATGTGAATTATGTGCATTATACTTATTTATAATATATAATAAGTTAAGAAGAAAAAATAAGCGTCAAAAATAAAATAACAGATAGACCAAATACCTATGAAGAAATTTGTAGTGGTCGTGACAAGGATTCCGGAGATATAAAGAACGTTGAAATATGACTTATTACGAAGAAGTGATGACATGTTGATGTTTCGCGACAAAACCGACATGACGTTGGGTGACAAAAAAATGAGTTTACGATAAAGTAATTTTTATCCTTAGCAATTAAAAAAAGTCATAGTATACGTTAAACCGAGTGCGTGCATAAAAAGAACGCTCAAATTTGACTTCGTATTAGGAAGTTATGATTTTTCTAAGATTTAGCATAGCAGTATGCAACCCGGAATTCGAATATTAGATCAACCGATAGTTGGCCGATACAACCTAAACGAGAATCGAAGATCTCATTAATAGGAGCTCAACGATAAAAAGACAAATGAAAATGGACGTCAAATGACAAAGTTATGAAATTTTAACGAACTTTACCTGTCTACGTGTGTTAAAATATAACTTTAAAATAAGTTCAAATTTAGCCGATGAAGTCTAAAAAAAAGTTATAAAATATGTCGCCACCTATGCATGGATATAAAGAACGTAAAAAATTGAGCTAGTATGTAAAATTTACGAAGTTTAGAAGTCGGAAGTAGGCTGATGCGAAGTGGGTGATGTGACACGATCTGGACCCTTGGTTGCACACCATGGCCTCGCATTCGGATGATGACAGGTGCTGTAACATCCCGGATTCCCAGGTATTATTCATTATTATATTTTGGTATTTTGTAAGGAGGCTCGGCGAGTTGGAGCTCAAACTC